TCGTGGTCTTAATTTGTCTTTCCCCAGTGATTAATGAGGTTGAGCATCTTTCCATGTGCATGTATGAGCCATTGAGTAGCATCTTTTGTGAAGTTCAAATATTTTACCCATTTTTCATTGCTATTTATTTATTTATTTATTTATTATTTTAAATTATGCAATATATGAATTTCTTGTCCTTGCAAAAATTTAAAATACTCAAGATGTGGTATTCTTGGACAACCCAACCCCATCCCACTTGACTCTCCAGAAATGCGCTCTCTTCCAGACCTGTCTGGAAACTTACATGAATGCAACACAGTACAGTGGCTCAAGGCATCGATCCTGGAGCCAGAATGACAAGACTAGAATCTCAGCTCCCCTATTTACAAGCCGTTTCAACTTGGGAAAGACACTCTGGGAAAGACTCTGTACCTCAATTTCCTCATCTTTAAAAATGGAGTTGATAATAGGAGGATCTACCTCACAAGGTTGTTTTGAGATTTCAGTAAGTGAACTGCTTAGAAAAATGGCTGGAGCATAGTAAGCACTATATTGGTGAGAGCTACTACTGAGTTGTGAAGTTGTTTTGTTTGGGATTTTTAATAGAAATTATGTAACATTTTTATTGTGGTAAAATACAAATAACATAAGATTTACCATTCAGCGACTTCCAGGTATACAGTTTAGTGGCTTTAAATATATTCACAGTGTTGTTCAACCACTATCCATTTTCAGAATTTTAACTTATACCAAATGCAAACTCCATGCCCACTAAACAATAACTCTCCTTTCTGCCTCCCTCTCATGCCCCAGCCCCTGCTAAGCTGCATTCTACTTTCTGCTTCTATAAATTTGCCTGTTCTCAGTCCCTTATATAAGTGGAATCATACATTTGTCCTTCCATATCTGGCTTATTACACTTAGCACAGTATTGTCAAGGTTCATCCATACTGTAGCATGTACCAGAACCTCATTCCTTTTCAAAGTGGAATAATATTTCATAGTTCATATGTGCTACATTTTGTTTATGAATTCATCTGTTGATGGACATGTGGGGGGTTGGCTCTTGTGAATAATGCGGCTATGAACATTGGTGTCCGAGTATCTGTTTGAGTCCCTGCTTTCAATTCTTTGGGGTAAACACCTAGAAAGAGAATTGCTGGATCATATGGTAATTTTATGTCTAACATTTTTGAGGAACTGCCAAGCTGTTTTGCACAGTGACTGCACCATTTTATATTCCCACCAGCCAAGTATGAGGGTTCCAAGTTCTCCACATCTTGCCAACACTTATTTCCTTCTTATTCTTGTTATTCTATTTTGGTTTTAATAATAGTCACTAATGGTTGTAAAGCAGTATCTCATTGTGCTTTTGATTTGTGGTTCCCTAAAGATTACTGATGTTGAGCATCTTTTCATGTGCTTATTGGCCATGTGTATAAATTCTTCGGAGAAATGTCTATTCAAAGCATTTTGACCATTTTTTAACTGAATTGTTTTTGTTGTTGCTGAGTTGTAGGAGTTCTTTACATACATTGGGTATCAATCTGTTATCAGGTCTGTGATTTGCAAACATTTTCTCCCATTCTATGGGTTGTCTTTTCACTGTCTTGATAGTGCACAAAGGTTTTTAATATCAATGAAGTTCACTTTATTTTTGCCTTTATTGCTTATGCTTTTGCTATTATATAAATCATGTACATTCTAAAAAGAAAAATGTGGCAGACATTACCTCAGCCAAATGATCAAACTTAACATCACCAAGGATGAGATAAAGCAACGTCACCTGCCCCAGAAGGAGTTTCTGAGGACACAGCATCCCTTCTGTGATATGCCTGCCCCAAAATGCCAAACCTGAATCTAATCACGAGGAAACACCCAACAAACCCAAACGAAGGGACATTTTGCAAAATAACTGCTGTGAATTCTTCAAGAATGTCTGTGTCTTGAAATATGGACAAGGCAAGGGGACTGTTCCAGATTAGGGGACCCTAAGGAAACGTGACGACTAAATGCAACGTGGGATCCTGGATTGGATTCTGGAACAGGAAAAAAAAATTCTACAAGGACTATTACTGGGATGATCAAGGGTATTTTAATATGGACCTACACTAGATAATAGTGTAGTATTAATGTTAAATTTCCTGAACGTGACAATTGTATTGAGATTATGGAAGCCATGTCCTTGTTCTTAAGAGGAACATGTTGAAGCATGGAGCCTTTTGGGATGAAGTAGTACCACGTGTGCAACAAACTTAAAAATCGTTCCAATAAATACATAACTAAATACGAGGGGGTGGGGGGAAGAGGGAGAGTGTAAACATGGCAAGATCTCATTAATTAGTGCATCCAGGTGAATAATATACTGGAGTTCATTGTACTTATATTACAACTTTTTTGTGGATATGAAAAATTTTCTATATAAAAAGTTGGGGAGATAAATCAAGAGGAAAACCAAATGATACAATATGTAGGTATCACTCTGCAGCTTTGTTTGTGTTTCCAACAATGTGTCTTAGGGATTGTCCATGTTAATGCTTGGAGATCTCATTCATCTTACCTACTATATACTATTTTGTTGTGTGACTACATATGGATGAATTGACTCTTCTCCTATTGTGGCATATTTTCTCTCTTTCCAATTTTCCCCTCTGACAAGCATGCTGTAATGACATCACAAAGGAATCTTTCCAGGGTCCACACTGAAGTGAAGTGCTGGGACTGGTCCTTTCTGTTTGTATCCATGGCCTATCACCTCAGATTCCAAACTACCCAGGCCATGGGATTCCTATGGGCAGAGATAGAGTCTGCTCCCCTGCTTGGGCTCCCTGCCCCCACTCCCAACATCAGTCACTGCTGAGTTCATTTCCACTCATCTTCTGGTTTGGTCTCAAATGCCACTCCCTCTGGGAAGCTGTCCCTAACACTTCAGCTAGGCCTGGTGCCTCTGTTATAAGTGATTGTGGTAGTGGTAGCCAGGCCCCCAAGAAGGACTTCAGCAATTCTCATCCGGGACTCACATCTCTTCTTACACTAGATTGGGCTGATCTGTGTACCAGTAAGAAATTTCGTGAATGTTAGGGTGTGACTTCTGAGGCAAGGTCATAAAAGACACTGCAGTTTCTGTCTTGTCCCTTTTCAGATCATTCACTCTGGGGGAAAACAGCTGCCATGTGAGGACACTCACGAGTCCTCGCGGAGAAGTCCCCATAAGAAACTGAGGCCTCCTGCCAACAGCCAGCTCTAATCAGCTAACCCTATGAATGAGCCACCCGTGAGGCAGATTCTTCAGCCTCCATCAAGCCTTCAAATGACCACTGCCACGTGACAACCTTACAAAAGATTCCAAGCCAGAACCACCCAGCTAAGCAGCTTCCAAATTCCTGAGCCAGAGAAACTGCACAAGATAAGAAATATCTATTGTTGCTTGCTAAGTAATTTTTTAAATTTACGTAATGTCATTTAAGTCTGTTTCCCTTGCTACACCATGAATGCTGTCAGACAGGGACAGTGTTTTCTTGCTACCTCTTCATTCATTCAATCATTCAGCAAATGTTTATTGAGCGCCAGACTTGTGCCAGGCACTAGGCTGAGCACTGTAGACCAGGGCTGAGATGAAGGTAAGGCAAGCAGGTGCCCAGGGAACAAATGTTCAGGAGGTGCTCACTTTCATGCTCATGTAAAGGCTAGGTCAGCACCTAAGAGTGAGTACCTTTTTAAATTTTGCACCCTAGGCACCTTGTTTATCTCATCTTGGTCTCAACCCTGGAGAGAGAGCAGTGCACAAGGTATAAATGATCTCTGACCTCTTTTTGCCCTTGCAATGACTCAATAACTATGTGTTCATTAGCTAATTCAGTATTCTTCTGCAAATACTACACTTTAAATTTACATTGTTCTATGACATGTTTTGTTTTCGTTAGGGCAAATCCCCCCCTCAGTATCAGTAGTAATACCTTTCTTGAGTGCTTATCAATGCCATTGTGTTATAGGTGATAGAGATACTGTGAACAGACAAAGGAACCTGTCCTTGACAACTTACCACCTCTGGGTAAAATTGCAACATTTCCAGACTCTCCTGCCTGGCCTGTGCCTTTCCATATCAACAGGTGTTTCCAAGGGGTGGAGAAAAGGAGTCCATCTCTATATCAATAGGTAATTACCAGGGGGAGCAAGGGCTTATCTGGACCAGAGAGGTTGAGCGGGGTCCCCTTTTTCTGCAGCCGGGTCGGTAGAGACACGGACGAGCAGAAGTGATGACTGCTTGTAAGCAATGAACATGTTTCTCCCACTTAATTTCTCCCTTTGACTATTTCAGCTTCAAGGTTATTTTGTTCCAGGCTGGGAAGGTGTATGCCCCCCTGGAGTTACACCACCTAATGGGAGATCTAGACAACACACACACACACACACACACACACACACACACACACACACACACACACATGCAGACATCATACAAAATGATTAAAAGTTGTAATAAAGACCATAAAAAAAATCAAGCTAACTGCTGACCTAGAGAATTTTGGGAGAGACCCTTGAATGTAGGATCCTCTGTATAGGTCTATGGAGGTGGTGTTTAAGTTAACTGGAAGAAAAAGAGGCCAGCCCTAGAATAAATGAGCAAGACCTTCCACAGAATAGCAAGCACTGAGGTGGGAAAGCACTTGGCGTGTTTGAACGGAAAGAAGACAAGTGTACCTTTGCACAGGAAGTAAAAGGAGCCCTACTACCTGATATATGTTAACAATGAACATTCATGATGTTAAATAATATTTGCTGAGCACTTACTATGCATCAAGCACTGTGCTAAGTACCTTGGAAATTTATTGAACCTTTAAAACAGCCCTACCAAGGTGACTCCTTAATCACTCCTGTTTTACAGATGGAAGACATTGAGTTAAGAAGTCAAGTTGCCAGAAATGCATAGCTAGGAAATGAAACGGCAGGATTTGCACGCAGTTCTCACTTAATGCTCTTAAACCACTGTCTGTCTCTCACAGGGAAACACTCAACGTATTTTTTAAGAAGCACTCAGTGAGCATGGACAGACATTTCTAGCTCCCCAACGCAGTTTTTTATTAAAAACTACTGTTCCCAGCACGCCCTCCTCGCCTTAGAGGGGTGGTGGAAAGAGGGCTAGCTGAACTACATCTCCCAGAATGCAACTCCCACTTTGCTGGCTGTCAGCATGTTGGGAATTGCAGTCTTCTGAAGAGACGCTCACCTACAGCTCCCAGCATGCATTTGGATTCTGAACCGTGCAGTAGGGAAAAGGACAGTCGCGCAGCATGCTGGGAAGCGGGACAAGGCTCTTTTCCCGGTTTGCTGCCCGGACGAGTGACTCCATTCTTGGGACTACAATTCCCAGCAGGCCGTGCGCGAGAGGGCGGGCAGGTTTGTTTGCCGGAAGTCCGCTCTAGCCGTGGGTCCCCCAATTGCTGCCAGAGCCACAACCACCCAGTAGCCGCGGGAACTGCACCGCTGGGGTCCGGACAGGGGTCGCCATGGTAACGGGGGCGCGCCCACGCTGGGGACGGGCAGAGGGTGGGTCCAAGTGCAGGTACCCGAGGCTCGGTCGGGTAGTGACAAGCCCCCCTGCGGCGGTGCGATGGTCTGGGCCGGGCGGGGGCTCTCGGGGTTGGGGCCGATGAAAGGCCGGGAAAGGGGGGAACTGAGCGGTAATTCTCCGCGCGGGAATGCACGGGGGTCTCGAGGCTAGGGGGCATTGGAGACCAGGTGCCGAGGGGAGAGGGCTATACGGGAGGGAAACAGTGGGGATGACTGGGGGTTTTGAAACGGAGGCAACTTGCGAGGCAGGATCTCAGAGGTGAGGAGAAGGGACTGGAAGTAGGGAAGAGGCATCCAAGAGGAGGGCTCTCTGGAAGTGTGCCAGGATAGTTGGAGAAGAATGGGAGACACTGGGATGGGAGAGACGGGGTCTCTAGGGACAGGAAGGTGGCATTGCAGGCCGAGAGGGGGACGGGGGGTTGAAACGGGCAGAATACAATTGATAAGAGAATTTCAAGGGGAAGGGACTGAGCCCTAAAAGTAGGCAAGTAGGGAATGGGGCTTTAGAGTCATCCGTGGGGACAGTGTGCTGCCAAGGGGAGAAGGCTCGGAAGTAGGGAGTGAATACTACAGCGTGGGGAGGAATGGAACGGGTCTTCCCAAGAAGAGAGGACTTGGGGGGATAGGGAGTAGGCATGGAAGCGTTAGAGATGGGGATGGAGTTTTTGGAGCAACGACTGGGCACGGGATTTGGCACCCTAACCCCCTGGCTGCTGCTTTGGACCATAAGAAAGGATTCTTTGGGCAGGGGCTGGGAAAAGAGATGAATGGGGATGCGTATCAAACAGGAGAAGAGTCTCCCCAAGGAAAAGGGTCCTTGGAGGCAAGAGTTACCTTTGGAACAGGGCCTTGGAGTCAGAGAAGGGATGTCCCAGTAAAAGTTGTACGAAGGCCTGAGAGGGGATTGAAACCAAGAAAGTAGAAGTTAAAAGGGAACAATGCCAGGGGTGAGGGCTTTGAGGACAGGGAAGGTCAGGGAGCATCCAGAGGGGACATCAGAGGGGTGCTGGTGCAGGAGGGAAGGAACTTCTCAGGGTGCATTCCCTGAGGTGGAGAGATTCTAAATGGCAGGAGAAACCGGAAGAGGTGTCTGAGGGAATTTGGGGGTGAGAGGCAAAGCTGTCCCTCAGCCCTGTAGGCTTGCCTCTGACTCTTCTCGCTATACGCCATGCGTGTACCTCGGCTCTGCTCCCAGGCTGTGGCCGCCTGGCATGGCTTCCCCCTATGCCCTTTCCCTTCCTGCTCAGGACTCCTGTTCTGCTGGGAAGTAGTTTTCCCTGGCTCAGCAGAAAGGGGTTCTTGGAAGGAGAGTGTAATATCCTGTTCCTGTCCAGCTTGGTTGGTTGGGGGGTGGGTGGCTTATGTAGAGAGTGAGGCTTAGGAAGAGAGAGGACCGCCATGAAAGGGCAGAGGCTCCCACAAGTAAGGGGATCCAAGCAAGGCCTGTGGGAACTCTCAGCTCTTTGTGGTTGCAAGGCTGCCTTTCACTGAGCCTCGGTTTCTTTATCTATAAAATGAGCATAAGCACGCCTGTCTCAAAGAGAATTGGATGCAAAGGCAGGTGTCCTAGTTGGGTGAACTTGGGCCCTGGTTTTCTTAAAGCTGAATGATGATGAATTACACTAGTAATAAGAAGTAATACTTATCCAACATTTGGTATGTGCTAGTCTCTGTGCTACACCCCTTGTGTTGCTAACCCATGCAACCGTCTGATGAGGGAGGTACTCTCTTGTCCATTATACAGAAGGGAAACTGAGGTCCAGAGAGGTTAAGTGACTTGCTCATGGACATATAACCAGTGGTACTAGGATTCATTCAGATTTGAGAGTCTGTGTTCTTAGCCACGTGGTCAAATGCCTGTCAGTCACAACAGCTAATTTTAGTGAGTGCTTAGTATGTACCGAGCGCTCTGCTAATCGCATCTGGCATTAACTCATTTGGTTTTCACAGTTGCCCTCTGGCAGTTGACCTGGCATTTAAGAAACAAAAACAAATTTCCTAGTCTCCACTGATGGTAACTGCAGCTGACACGGAGCACATAATCAGAGCCAACCACTGCTCTGGGTACTTTTCATATACTGTTACCTCCTCACCACATCCTTATGAGGCCCTATATTCTAGATGGATAAACTGAGTCACCAAGCAATTAAGCCACTTAAGAAGTGGCAGGTGCTCTGGGAACCAGTTGAGCAGTCCCTGAAAAAGTTAGACAGAGTTACCATACGACCCAGCAATTCTAGTCCTAAGTACATACACAGGAGAAGTGAAAACATATATCCACATAAAAGCTTGTCAGAAATGTTCATAGCAGCATTATTCATGATCACCAAAGAGTGGAAATAACCCAAATGCCCATCAGCTGATGAATGGATAAACAAAAAGAGGTATATCCATACAGCAGAATATTATTCAGCCTGAAAAGGAATGAAGAAACTGACTCATACTATAACATGGGAGAATTTCGGAAACACTATGCTATGTGAAAGACACCAGATGCAGAAGGCCTCGTATTGTATAGGTCTATTTATACGGAATGTTCAGCATAGGCCAATCCACAGACCTGAAGATTAGTGGTTGCAGGGGCTGAGAGGGAGGAAGGGAGAGCATCTGCCAACAGGTGGGGTGTTTTCTTCTGGGATAATGAAAATATTCTGCAATTAGATAGGGGTGACTTTTGCACAGTTGTATGAATATACTAAAAACATTGAAATACATCATTTTTAAATGGGTGAATTTTTTAAACTTAGTAAGTAAAAACAGGAAGTGGCATTCAGACCAAATAAGTCTGAAACACATACATTTATGTAATGTGCCAGCCAGTGAACCATGTGTAAAGCCTATTTAACCTACAAAACCCACCGTGACAGGGTGTGTGTTCTAAGGAAACTTGTTTTGCCAGTGGGGAAACTGAGGCATAGAGGGGCAGATCATTTTTCCAAGATCTGGCAGACACGAGGTGGCGGAGCCTGGGGCTGGGGACCCTGGAGCCAGCTGCAGAGCTGGCCAGTGGAAGAGCAGTCATTGCTTTGGGGTGCTGGAGGGGCCTGCGTCTGAGTGTGTGGCCAGGCGGGCTGGAGGCGGAGGCCTGTCTCCCCAGATGGGAGGTGTGGTGGGGCTGTCGGGCAGGGTCACGTAGCCCTGGCGCTACCGTCCCTGCCCCTCCCACTTTCTCTTCCTCCCACTGCCCCCAGATCCGCTTCATCCTCATCCAGAACCGGGCGGGCAAGACGCGCCTGGCCAAGTGGTACATGCAGTTCGATGATGACGAGAAACAGAAGCTGATAGAGGAGGTGCACGCCGTGGTCACTGTCCGAGATGCCAAACACACCAACTTTGTGGAGGTGATGCCCCCCTCACTGCGACCCATGCCTCCCTCACTCCCTGGCCTCCTTTGGCCCCTGCCCAACCTCTAATTGCAACAACCCCTCAGACCCTCCTTCCCAACTGTGTTCATTCACCCATTGCTTGCTGTCTTCCTCGCCTTTTATTGTGAAAATTTTCAAATGTACAGATTCATACAATGAGAGAAGTTGATTGAAGATCCACACATCCTCCCGACACCCCCCCCCCACCCCCAGATTTAATCAGCATTGATATTTTCTCTTTTGGCCTTTTTTTTGGTTGGGGGGGGGGCTGAAGAATTTTTTTCGATGCCTTTTGAGAGAATGGTATAAGGAGCCATCCCTTGCTGTAGTGTTTTAAATTTAGGTATAGAAATCATGACAGTATAGCCCTGAATATTTCAGGATGCAGCTCTGAAAATGGACGTTTCCTTTTATTACCACAATATCGTTATCAGACTTGCTACGCTTAGTCATCCTGCCGCAGTATTACTCTATTGCCCATTCAATATTTCAATTCCCCCAAGTCTTCCGAGCTGAGTGTTCAGAGCTAGTCAAGCATTTTGGATTGCTATGTCTCCTTGGTCTCTTTTAATCGAGAAATTTCTGCCTTCAATTCCCACATCATTAGCCTGTTCAAGGGACCAGGCTAATTGTCCTGTAGAATTCAACAAGTAATTATCAAGGGTTAGCTGTGGGCCAGGTACTGTTCTAGACACTGGGGTACAGCAGGGGACGTAAAGACATAGTCCCTGCCCTTGGAGAGCTGACACACTTGTCGGAGGGAGACTGGGAGTGAAAATAGAGCATATCAGGTGGTGACAGGTGCAGGAAGAAAAGGATGGGCTAGTGGGGATGGGCGCGCTGGGGTTTGATCAGGATGTCTTCATTGAAAAGGTGACGCTGAGCCAAGGCCTCCAGGAGTAAAAGGAACTGATATCTGAGCGAGGAGCAGTCCAAGGCCAGGGAGCAGCAGGGGCAAAGGCCCTGAGGCGGGGGGATGCCAGAGCACTCCTGGACTAGCAAGGCCAGCGTGTCCCAGCTGGATTTAGCCAGGGAGCAGGTGGGAGCAGGTGACGTCAGAGAATTAACAGGGACACACAGAGCCCTGGGGGCCACGGTGAGGACATGACTCTTACTCCGAGTGAATGGCAGTCACAGGAGGTTTTGAGCAGAGGAGGGTGTGAGTCGACTCAGGGATCCCTCAAGGGGGAAGGGCAGAATGGAGGGGACTGCCAGGGCCCAGGTGGGGGACGCTGGCGACTGGGAGTGGCCGGAAGCGTTTTGGAGGCAGAGCCTGCTGAAGGACCCAGGACTGGATGTGGCGTGTGAGAGCAGGACAAGCCAGCAGCGACATCTAGATTTTGGGCAGGAGCCACTAGGAGGGGAGCGCTGTCAGTGCCTAAGGACTGACCTAGGCGGAGAGCAGGGGGTGGCGGTGGGGAAGGCTGCGCACATGGGGGGCACCCAGATCCGCAGGGCTCGCTGGGGCGGTGAGAATAGACAGAGAGGAGAAGAGGGGCCATCTCTAGAGGGAGGAGATGAGGAGGTGGAGAGAAACCAGGAGATCTGGGCACCCTAGCAGCCCAGAGGAAAGTGTTTCTGGAAGGAGGACAGGATTGGCCGCCGGAGGTGACCTGCAGAGGTCACTGGTGGCCTTGCTGGGAGCGGTCCGGTGGGGTGGTGGGAGCCGGGCAAGTGGGCCCAGGAGAGGAGCGGGGACATCGGGATGCTGGCTGTCCTGGGCACCCTGCTGCCATGCAGTTCCGGGTCCTACGCCAAATGCTGGGAGTGACAGCACCTGAGGGACCGGTGAGGGTCTGTGAGGCCCAGAGAGCCAGGAGCAGCCAGAAAGGCTGGCTAGTCAGATGAGAACATCACAGGGGGCCTCACCCTCCTATCTGAGGCTCCTGATCCAGGCCCACTGATTCACTTGTCCATTCAGGCATCTGTGTGCCAACCATTCCTGTGCCTCCCCTGTGGCCAGCCTGTGCTCGGTTCACCGTGGGGTCTGAGACCGCCCTGTGAGGGACACAGACCTGTCCCTAGACAGTGATGAACTCGAATGGGCGAGGCCGGATGGAGCAACTATGCAGAGGAGGGCACCTGACTCAACCTGGGAGTCAGGGCGGGCTTCCTGGAGGAGCGGACACACTGGGAAACGAGAGAGATGATCCGACCCCCACTAACATGAGAATCATGAGGAGAAACCTTAGGTAATGACAACATTGGGATCAGGGCAGGCTTCCTGTTGAAGGCACCCTGTGAGGAGAAACAGGATGAGCAGCCAGCTGAGAAGCCGTCCAAACTTTCTTCCTCCCGATTACTCCCTAGTGCACACTCCTTAGCACCAGTATTCACTCCCCATTGCCGTGGTAACAAAGGATCACAAACTTAGTGGCCCCAAACAACACAGATTTGTTGTCTTATCATTCTCGAGGTCAGAAGTCCAAAACTGGTCATCAGGGCTGTATTCCTTTGGGAGGCCCGGGGCAGAATCTGTTTCCTCACCTTTTCAGGCTTCTAGAGGCAGCCTGCGTCCCTCGGCTCGTGGCCCCTTCCCCATGGCAAAGCCAGCGGCGTGGCTTCTTGAGTGCCCTCTGACCCACGTGCTCCTGCCGCCTCCTTCCCTTATAAGGACTCTTGTGATTATACTGCGCCACCCCGATAATCCAGAATCATCTCCTCATCTCAAGGTCCTTAACTTAATCTCACCTTCACAATCTCACCCTTTTGCTGTGGAAGGTCACATGGTCACAGGTTCCAAGAAGTAGCATGTGTGCCTATTCCCGGGGATGCCGGTCAGTTGGCTGCAGCACCTATTTGGTGCCCAGCCCTGTGCAGGGCAGTGCTGGGGACCTAGAGGTGACAGCCCCAGCCCTCCCTGGACAGGGCCACCTCGAGTGGTCAGGACTGGGACGGGGGTGTCCGTGGTCGGGGGAGTTCAGCCTGGGGACCCGCCACAGCCTGTGGGAAGAGCCTGGCCTGAGGGTGTGTGGCAGGAGAAAGCCTGAACGTCTGGTCCTGGGAAGCCTGGAAAGTTGAAATTGAGGCAGAGGTAGAAGCCAGGTGGGTGGCAGCAGGGAAGGGAGAATTTCAAGAAGAGGAGAGTGCGGCTCGGTGTCAGACGTGCCAAGGCCACACCAGCTAGGGCAGTCAGTCCGGAATGCCTCCAGATAAAGCTTTCCTGCCCTCTCGCCTCCTGTCTTGGACCCTCTCCTGCAGAGCAGGGGTCTCCAAACGTTTGATCACGTTATCCTTATCAGTTAAAAAAAATAGAGTTTGCATCCTGATACATGCTTAGTGATCCATGGGTTATGTGCAGGAATTACTGTAATAATGTTAGAAAACATACTCCAAGTTAGAAATTAGCGGAAGCATGAGCAGGAAGAAAAATGAGTAAAAATCAAGAGCTAATGTTGGCTTTTGCCACCAGATGGCGACACACCCACACCCATCCACCCACCCAGCTGTACACAGACACACACGCATACAAACCCCCAACTGTACACACACACTCAGCTGTATACAGACTCACGTAGCTGTGGCCAAAAACAGTGTGCCTTGCAGGCCAGTATGCATATCCGTAGCTGTGTCTGTCTGTCTCCTTATTTACTTACACATGCATGTAAAATTAGAATCTGCATCCTCCCATCCATGGTATTTATTCCTGGGTTGTGTGTGTCTTACTATAGTAGCATTTATGTCTCTATTACAGTTCCAGTAGGGCAAGGCTGGAATTCCTTGGGTTCCAAGGGGTGACGGTGCACTGCCCAGTCAGAGCCTGTCACACAGTAGGTGTCCAGGCAGTGTTTGTGGAATGAGCAAATCAACTAGTCCCAGGCTAAGAAATCTGACTCTCTCCAGAGACAACAGGGAGCCCCAGAAACATGGGATGGGTGCCAGGAACCTCCCAGCCTGCCTCTCACTCTCCCTGGAGTGCTCATCATTCACATCTCATTTCAGATGCCCCCTCCTGCAGGAAGCCCTCCCTGCCCACTCTGGGGATGACTGAGAGTGACTCTCTCTCCCCTGCCTGTAAGCCCCAGGAGAGGGGGAGAGCCAGGCCTGTCTCCGCCACCACTGTGTACCCAGCACAGGACCAGCTACTGAGCAGGGCGACAGGGACCATGCATGGGATAAAGGGCTAAATATTTTGGCTCCACTCTGCCCAGCACGCTGGGTCCCGGGCATGCCCTGTCACTGACAGTCTCTCTGCCCCACAGTTCCGGAACTTTAAGATCATTTACCGACGCTACGCTGGCCTCTACTTCTGCATCTGCGTGGACGTCAATGACAACAACCTGGCCTACCTGGAGGCCATCCACAACTTCGTGGAGGTGCGTAGGCGGCGGCGTGATGGGACTCCGTCTCGCCCCACCTCGCCGTTCCTCCTCTCCTGTATCCACTCCGGCCCACTAGTGTCTTTGTGCCACCAGCTGTGTCCATCTCGGTCTCTGTCCGTCTCTGCCCGTCTTCCTCCCGCTGCATCAGTCTGTCATTTTCTGTCGTCATCGTTGATCTTGTCTCTCTTTCTCACCGCCTCTGTCCTCCCTCCCTCCCAGGATCTCCCGCCTCCTCCCTTTCTCTGGTTTTTCCCCACCTCTTTCTGATGACCTTTGTTCCTGCCTCTGAGGGTCTCTCATCTCTTACCATCTCTGCCTTCCTCCCCAGGTCTTAAACGAATATTTCCACAATGTCTGTGAACTGGACCTGGTGTTCAACTTCTACAAGGTGGGCACCTGGTGCAGACGAGGAGGAGCGGGAGGGAGGGGAACCGGAGCCCCTGAGCCACCGCAGCCCCTCTGCTCACGCCTGGTGCTGGCTCCCGGGCATCAGAGCCCCCAGCGTCCGAAGCTTGGACCAGCATCCTTGGGGTCCCTTCTCCTACACCAGGGTCTCCTCATGATCCCCCTTCACTCAGGTTTACACGGTCGTGGACGAGATGTTCCTGGCTGGCGAGATCCGAGAGACCAGCCAGACGAAGGTGCTGAAGCAGCTGCTGATGCTGCAGTCGCTGGAGTGAGCGCGCCGGCCCTCTGGCCTGCCTGCTCGCCTCCCCGGCAGCCCCCCTTCGCTGCCCAGGAGAAAAGGCACCCAGCTGGGTCCGGGCTGTGCGGGAGGAGAGTGCACCCTACCGCCTCTGGGCCCCAGCTGTGGGTGGAGGCTGCCCTGCGTGTACTGAGTAACTGTGTCGTGTGGTGCTGTGCGTGCATGCGTGGAGCCCCCAGTAAACCCGTGGTCCTGCCTGGCCTTGTGTCTTTGAGTTCTTGTCTCTTTTCCCTGGGAACCGCAGGCATGCAGGACGCCCTGCCATCAGCGTGTCTGTCACCAAACTGTCTTCATGCTGAGTGAGGCAGGGGCCCAGGTATGGTCACACCTGCTCCTGCCCAAGAGTGGGAGGGGGGAACAGACTTGGACACTGAGCACTTGCTTAATAGCACCAAGCGTCTCCCAGGCAATGTTCTAAGAGGTCAGGTGTATTAACTTACTAAATCCTCATGAGGTAATGAGGAAGGGACTGAGTGTCTCCATTCCAGGTGAGATCACTGCGCTCAGGCAGGTTAAAAGACACTCAAGGTCACGTAGCTTGTCTGGATAAGCCAGGTTTCCCTTGAGCCTGGGCCGATGGCTCCAGAACCCTTGTTTTTAAACCACTGGATGCAACAGCTGTTGCAAATGCAGACCTGGGCCTGGTGTTTAGTGGTTCTCAGCCATGGCACTTGGGGAAGTGCTTTGTTGGGTGGGACTGTCCCAGGCGTGGCCAACTGCTGGTCTCCAGCTGCCACATGCCCCCAGTGGCCCTCTGGCCATTGTGACAACAGAAAACACCCCTGCCTGTTTCTAGTGCCCTTGGGGTGGCAGTGTCCCTTCTCCCCCATCCATCAAGGCAGAGAGTGATGGCGTCTGGCTTCACCCATGACCCATGCCCTCAGCAGGCTGAGAAAGCGCCAGGCACATCATGTCACGTATGGTTCACAGCCTCACCTAAGTCTCCCAGCTGCAGGAGGAGGGTGTGTCCCAGCTCAGCCATTTGGGTAAGTCCTGTAACCTTTTGCCTCAGTTTCTTCATCTGGAAAATGGGTTGACAGTGGTGAGATTTACCCCACGGGGTTTGCGTGAGGATTAAATGGGTTAATCATGGGGAAGTTGAGGGTAGCGCCTAGCATCGGTAGGCACGCATTCGCTGCACAGACAGAAAGCTCCAGCTGGGTGCAAGGCCCTGTCAGAGCCCAGAGGTGTCTGCAGAAGTGGACAGTTATTACTTCACGTGTGGGAAATTGAGGTTTAGGTGAATTCCTTTGTAGATACCATCATTGCTTTCTTACTGCTGTGGTAACAAATTATCACAAACTTAGTGGCTTAAAACAACAGAGCTTTGAGGCTGAGCACCCCTAGAGGAGAGAGGCCCAGATCTGTAGCCAGGCAATGGCATGGGAGGGGAGGTCCTCCCTGAGACGGGGAGCAGCAGATTGGAGGGATATTCTGAGTTACGAGGACACGGGGAGGGGGTTCATAACAAATAACTAGACACTGGGCAGCTGAGGACCAAAGAAATAGGTTCCCTCATTGTTCTGGAAAGTGAAGTCTGAGATCAAGGTGTCAGCAGGGCTGTACTCCTGAAGGCTCTTCGGGAGGATCCTTCCTGCATCTTCCAGCTGCTCGTGGCCCTGGCGTCTCCTGGCCGGTGGCTGCGTGATTCCGTCTCTGCCTCTGTCTTCCCGTGGCCATTCCTCCGTGTCTGCATCCTCTCCTTTTCTACCTCTCATGGAGACACTGTCATTGGATGTAGGGTCCACCATGCTAATCTAGGACAATCTCATTTCAAAGTCCTTAATTACATCTGCAGCGGCCCTTTTTCAGAATAAAGTCACACTCACAGGCTCCTGGCACGGACACTGATGTATCTTTTGGGGAGACCATACAACAACCCTAGAATCATGCAAGAGAAGTGACCTTTGGACACACGGACCTGAGACCCTGAGAGGGAGGGATGCAAAGAGCATTTGCCTCTCTGTGTATTTGACAGTGTTTCTTGGTCACCTACTATGCGCCAGTCACTGTTTTAGCACCAGGAGATACAGCAGCAAGCAGGACAGGTCTCCTGAGGGTGCGGGGCGTAAATGCATAAATAAATCCTGTGTGTCAGAAAGTGAGAGTGCTTTGGAGGCAAATGAAACAGCAGTGGGGAGGGAAGCCCGGCCGGTGGCACTGCTATTCTAAATGGATGTCCATGAAGTCCTCTCTGGAGGAGGTGGCATTTGAGCTGAGACCAAAAAAGGTAAGGGAATGAGCCATGGGAAACTGTAGGAGAAGCGTATTCCTAGCAAAGGGAACAGCAAGTGCAAAGGCCCTGGGGAAGAGCATGCAAGGCCAGTATGGTGGGGATAGAGTGTGGGATGTGTTCAGAAAGTAGAGGGCCTAGGGTTGGAAGGGAGAGGGCAGATCACACAGGGCCAGGACACTGGGTTTAGTATGTGCGCGACAAGAATCATGGAAAAGAAAGAGTTTTTGTTTGGAGGGTGAGGGGGACGGTGGTAACTCTTTTCTTGAGATACAAATTATATCCCATACAACTCACCCATTTAAAATGTGCAAGTCAGTACTTCTTAATATATTCAGAGAGTGTGTTACCATCACTGCAATCAAGTTTTGAACATTTAATCACCCCAAAAAGAAATCAGAACCCTTAATGATCACCCCTCAATCCCTCCAGCCCCTTTCCCCAGTCCTGGGAAATCTGCAAATCCACGCATCTACTTTCTGTCTCTGTGGGTCTGTCTGTTCTGGACATTTCATGGAAATGGAATCATATGCTGTGTGGGGCACAGGATTGTTTTGAGCCAAGGAGGGACAATAATCTGCCAAATTTGATATAAAGAGGTCAAGGGTGCAGACCAGGAAGCCAGGGAAGAGGTGATCACCATGATCCGGGTAGGAGGTGGCCGGGTCGTCCCTGGCCTGGGTTGTGGTGGGGACGAGGTGACAGAAGTAGAGAGAAGAGATTGAGCTCCAGACACGTTTTGAAGGTGGAGTCAATAGGATTTGCTGACAAGTCGATGGAGGCTGGAAGAGAAGTCAAGAATTACTCCCCGTTTTACAACCTAAGCCCCCAGAAGTCTGGAACCTCCTGTTCCAGAGTGAGGAGACAGTGGGGGGAATATGTCAAGTTTGGGTTCTTGGGGCTTCAGGGGACATACTGAGGAAGCAGCGACTGTGTGGTCTGGAGCTGGGGAGAGAGGTCCCGTGCAAAAAGTCATCAGAGCATTGATGGGATTTACTGCCATGAGGTCAGCTGAGATCATCAAGGGAGTGGGTATGGAGAGAAAAGAGCTCTGTAGACTGAGATAGGGGAAAAGGGGGAAATCCGAAAGTGAAATACAGAAGGAACAGCCGGCGAGAAAGAAGAAAAACGATCTATGGCAGCGTCCTGGAATCAAGTGAAGAAAGCGTGCTCAGGAGCAGAGATGCCCAGGTTAAGGGCTCTGTTAGAACAGCTCACATAAGAAAACCTAGTGGCTGCAGAATGTGGAGCAGCTGGGACTCTAGGACTACTGCTTACGCAAACGTGCAATGGTACAGCCACTCTGGAAAACAGCCCGGCAGTTCTTACAAAGTTGAACTTCACACTTACCTCGTGACTCAGCAGTCCCGCTCCTACTTGTTTACCCAAGAGAAATAAAATCTCTGTATAAAATTTCTACATGAACCCAAGAGAAACAAAAACTTCTGTTCATGTAAAAACTTGTACATGAATGTTCACAAGCAGTGTTACTCATATAACCAGAGGGTGGAGACAACCCAGGTGCCCCTCACCTGGTGAAAGTATATATCAGATACCCACACTATAGCTACGCAATGGAATAGTATGCAGCCACGAAAAGGAATGAAGCATTGATTCATGCTACAACCTTGAAAACATGTTAAGTGAAAGAAGCCAGCCCAAAGATCATGGATTGTAAGATTGCATTTATATGCAATTTCCAGAATAGGCAAATCCACATGGATAGAAAGTAGACCAGTTGGTTGCCTATGTCTGGGGGGGAATGGGATCTGGGGGTGATAGCTGAGGGTACAGGGCTTCTTTCTGAGGTGATGGAAATGTCCCTAAAATTGCACTGATGGTTGCACAACCCTATGAATATACAAAAAATCATTGAACTGTATACTGTCAATGGTTGAACTGAATTGGGATATGAGTTATATCTCGATAAAGCTGTTACAAAATAAAGGAGGGAAATTCACCCTGCAGGGGGCACAGGGAACCCTGCACCTGAGTATTTGTAGTGGCTTTATTTATAATTTCCCCAAACTAGAAACAACTAAAGTGTCCTTCAGCAGACGAACGGCTCGACAAATTGTGATCCATCTGACAATGAAGGGAATATGCCTCAGCATCGAAAAGGAATGAACCACGGATAGTCACAACAACATGGATGAATCGCAAATCACACATCAGGCTGAGGGAAAGAAGCCAGACCCACAGGGCTACATGCCGCACGATTCCATCTACGTGGCATTGTTGCCGAAGCCAAACTGTAGTGACTGAGGATGGATCAGGGGTTGCCAGTGCCACGGGGTGAGCTGGGGCATGGCCTACAGAGGAGCATGAGGGACACGGGAGGGCGATGGAATTCTCAGTGGTATCTCGATTGTGATGCTGGTTATCAGACCGCATGCATTTGCCAAGGCCCATAGACTGTCCACTAAAAAGGGCATATGTTAATGTATGCAAAGAGTTCCTCAATAATCTGACTTTTAAAAATGCTTTGGAAACCCAACTGTTGATTGACTGATGAATGGTTCAACAAAACACGGGATGGGCACACACCCCCAATGGAATATTATTCGGCCATTAGAACGGAACGAAGGTCTGACACATGCAACAACCTGGATCGACCTTGAAAACGTGCCAAATGAAGGAGCCAGACACAAAAGGCCACGCAGTGTATGGCTTTCCATTTACCTGAACGTTCCAGAATAGGGAAATCCACAGAGCCAGCCAATTAGCGGTTGCCAGGGGGCGGGGGGAGGGAGGGACAGGCATCGCTGCTGGATGCACAGGGCGTTTCCTTCTGACAGGTGATGAATACGTTCAGGGAGCTTGATGGGGATGATGGTCACACAACCTGGTGACAAACAACTGGATGGCATGCTTTAAAAAGGTAAATTTTGTGGCACGCGAGTGCATCTCAACTTAAATTAAAAACAGCTCCCCAGGGGTCACATAAGAGAAGGGCTGGGAACTGGGCCACTGAATTTGGTAAGGTGGGGTCAGTGGGGCCAGAGCAGGGCTCATGGAGTGCTGAGGGGGAACCCGATGGAGAGCCTGGGGGGGTGAGAAATGGGGCCCGAGACCCAGAAAAGCCCTCGGAGGAAGTGTAGGTCTGAAAGATGGAAAGTAGGGCAGTAACTGGATGGGGATGTGGATTCAGGGAGGTGGGGACTGTTTTTTAAAATAGCCGATATCGCAGCAGATCCTGTGCAGATGGGAATGGCGCAATAGGCAAGAGGAAGCCTGAAGATGCAGGAAAGGGGGTGCATGGGGTGGGGATCCAGGCCTGGGAGGAGGTATCGGTTCATTTCAAGGAACTGTTGGGAAGGTGGGATGGGTGGGCATTGGGCTGAGTTGGGGGGTGGGCAGGGAGCTCATGGTAGTCGTTTCTCTGATGGCTCAGTCTTCTTGGAGACATGGGAAGCAAGACCAGTGGCTGGGAGGGAGAAGGGTGGCTGGCTGCCTCCAGGGCTGGTACCCCCGAGACCACAGGGGTGAAAGCGCCTGGGAGCTAGAGCCACCTGAGGCTTCTTCTCCACATCAGCTGTCTGTTGCATGTGGAAATGTGGACTCAGTGTGGTTAGAGTTCTGATTTTTTCAAGAGCCATTGGCAATCTAGAGTTTTTTAAATGTGAAATCTTCTCATATTTTAATGTTTGCTTAAAATTTTTTTAACTCATGTTGTTGTTGGTGGGGGTGGGTCAAAGATAACATGTCCAGTGGTGGACTAAGCCCTCAGGCCACAGGTTTGTAACCCAGTGCAGGGGAGTAAGCCCAGCTCAGAGTCCGTTCTGGGCTCCTGAGGAACTCCAGTGTGTAAGTGGGGACGGAGAAGAACCTGAGAAAATGACAAGACAAGAAAGTTTCTGAAATGTTATTGAAGTTCCTGCTCAAGGCCCAGCAGGTTCCAAGGTTTTTAAAGCATAATCCCATTTAATCTTCCAGCCATATTGTGAAGTAGCTAGTGGTTTTATCATCGCCACTGCAAGTATTATCCCCTCTTTGCAGATAAGGAAACTTAGGTTCAGAAAGGGAAGACAATTTGCCCAATGACACACAGTGAGAAGATGAAATTAGAACCTAGATTTCTAGAATGCTGGGGCCAGGATCTGTCCATTCACTTTGAGGGGACAGATGTTTAAGAGGCATCCCTCCAAAACATGACAAAGGCAGCAGGAAAGAAGAATTTTACAGATGGAATGAGATTTATATTGTATTTCATGCCTTTCCACTCAATAACCATCTTCTGCTCCCCCAAAAAAGATTTTCCAAACCTGAACTGATTATCATTTTTATGTTGTGTTAGGGGTTGACTTATGTCCCCCCCACACACAAAAAAAGAGTCCTACGCCCAGTACCTCAGAACGTGACCTTATTTGGAGATCAGGTCTTTATAGAGGGGGTTGAGTTAAAACACGCTTACTAGGGTGGGCCCTAATTTAATAGGATTGGTGTCCTTTAAGAAGGGGAAATTTGGACATAAAGATAGGCTCAGAGGAAAGACAAAGTGAAGAAACAGAGAGAAGACAGCTCTTTCCAAGCCAAAAAGCAGGTTCCCCTCACAGTCTCAGAAGCACCCAAGCCTGGGATACCTTGATCTTGGGCTTCCGGCTTTCCGAACGGAGGCACAAGAAGTTCCTGTTGTTTGAGACGCCCCCTCCGTGGGAATTCTCTGAAGCAGCCCTAGGAAACTCAAGCATGCGGGAAAACAAACAAAGCTACAAGGAAAGGGAAGATAATTTTGCAGAGGAATATGAGAGGGTGTGCCTAACCGGAAATCAGGATGACTATTTTGCGTTTGCAACTAAGAGACCATGGAATTTACATACGATTAGACAAGCAGATTAACCGAAAAGGACCAAGAGCCCTGGAAGAGACCCATGCACCCATGGAGACGGATACAAGACGGAAGTGGCCTTTCAGATCCTGGGGGAAGGATCTCCCGCTTGGGCTGGGGGATGGCACCTCTTCCTCATACCGTACCCAAAAGCCCTCCCCAGGGGGCTCAAAGCCCTAATGTTACAGAACTAGAGGTGCAGATGAAAATATGGGAGAATAGTTTTATGATTTGGGGGTCGAGAAGGGTTGTTTCATTAAAAAGAACCTTAATTAGTTCAGTTTTCAAAGAATACATTCCTGTGTTTCAAAATTCAATAGGTTACCAAACTAGAATGAGTGATTTAAAAATATGCTCCTTATCTGTATCCCACAACCACCTAATTGCCCTCCTTGGAGTCCACGGGCATGGCCAGCTTCTCGTTATCTTTTCAGAGCTACATTATGCATAGAGAAGTAATATGAAAACACACACACACACATACACAACCTCCCCCCACCACTGTTTTAATACAAAGGATGACATATTAATCACACATTTTCCTCACCTTGGAGATGATTCCAAAGGAATATGTAAAGAGTTTCCTTATTACTTTTTATGGCAGTGTTGCAGAGAAATATTTCTTAGGATACAAAAAATACTAACCATAAAAGAAAAGAATGCATTGAAGGTAAAACCTCTGGGCATCAAAGACACCATAAACAAAAAGAAAAGATGAGCCACAAGCCATGAGAAGATGTAACTGGCAGAGGGCTCCCTATCCACAATATATAAAGAACTCCTGCCAATCAATAAGAGAAAGACCACTGAATGCGTAAATGGGCAAAAAAGGGAGGGGAAAACACCTTCAGAAGTCCTTGAAGATGGGGACAGGAGGCAGTTTATGCACATGGCATGGGAGATTAGATCTTTACTTCACACCATACAAACAATAGCTGAGATGTAGCTAATGAGGAGTTATCAGTGACCTGAGTGAAGGTAGGCCTGGCAGAAGGGTAAGGGAGCTCCAGTAACCTGTCAAGAGGGACTTCAAGGTGGAGATGGGAGAGATTCTTTCTTGCTGGCCTGCGGTGAGGAGTGGCTGGCCCAGCCCCGTGGGAGAATGTGAAGTGGAAGACTAGGCTGGCTCTGGGCCTGACACTTGCCTGAATCTCGTCAAGGTTACCCAGGGTCAGCCTTGCCTTCCCTGTGATGCAATCCTGCTCTGGGCTGACAACATCCTCTTTAACTGACACAGTGAAGATCAGTCTCTCCCCATAGGCAGCTGCATGCTAAGTGCTTTGAATGGCCTATTTCCTTGAACAGCTTAGAAACAGCCATCCTTTTGGACACTCAGGCCGAAAAGTTTGAAGGGATTCACGGCTCCTCTGCTCTGCATAGTCCATATCCCCTTCGGCAGGAAATCCTGTTGGCTTGACCTCCAAAGTCTGGCCCCCACAGCCCCCACCCTGGTCCAGCAGTCATCACGTCCAACCTGGACTATTCCAGTCACCTCTTTGCCTTTTCTGCCCTTGACCCCAACATACACTTCAGCGCATGGCAGCAGAATCCCTTCCACAGTCAGTCAGTGAATGATGTCACTTCCCTCCTCAAATATGTCCTGTGCCTGCTGCCTCCCTCAGCAGGACCCACAGACCCTGTCTAACCTCATCTCCCAACCTGTCCCCTCACATACTCTATTCCATGCACAGTGGCCTCTTTGCTGTTCCTTGCCCTTACTAGGCACAGTCCTGCCTCAGGGCCTTTGCACTTGTTCCCTCTGCCTGAGCCACTCTTCCCCCACATACTGGTGTGGCTCAAATGTGACCTCCTCAATGGAGCTTCCGACCTCAACATATATAATAGTGACCCTTCTTGTCATATCCCATATTACCATTTATTTCATAACCTACTTCATTTATTGATTTCTTCCTCATGCATTATCACCACTTTAAACATGAATATATATATATATATAATTTAGCCTCATAACTAGGGGGTCAGCTCCTGGAGCAAGGATGATTGTCTGTTTATTGCTGTACTCCCATGTCCACAAGAGTAGATGGTCAATAATTATGCTTAGTAGATGCTCAGGAAATATTAAATAAATGAATGAACAAATGAATCCTCTCAATAGCCCTAAAATGACTATCACATTTTACAGATGAAGAGACTGAGATATACAGAGGCGAAGTCACCCACCCAAGGCCATCCAGCTCCCCTTTGTTGAGTGCTTGCAGCAGCTCAGCTTGGCCTTGTGTCCACCACTGGGCAAGGGAGAGGCCTAAGGCTCAGAGAGGTGACATTGCTTAGCTGGGGCCACGCAGCCAAGCATCAAATCCGGGATCAAAGCAGATCTGTCTGTGGCCAGGGCCATCCTCTCACATTTACTTGCTGGAGGGCCTCAGTGTGAGAGTCTAAGCTGAAACCCTGAGCAGCCTCATTTCATGTGTTGTTCTGGGTGTTAGTTTTTTGTTATCAACTCATTGGCTCACGCTGCGCCCAGATACCCCATCCAATGCCACACCTTCATTTATTTGAAGCAAACCCCAGGTGTCATATCCTCCACGCACACATCCCTTGGTATCCAGGCAGCTTTACAATCTTTTAGCACCATGGAGATTACAGACTTGTCGATATTTGGAGGTGAGGCCAGGACCTATTTGAATCTGACTCACTTTGTGGAATTTATTAGAGGCGTGACCAGCGGTGAGACCCCTGAAGCCAGACAGCCTGGGTTCAAATCCGGCTTCCCCACTCCCTGGCTGCACTGCCTCAGGAGAGTCTCAGTTTTCTCATCTGCCAAATGGGGGCGATAGTAATAGTCTGTACTTCCCAGGGCAGTTGGGAGGTTTACATGAGTTACTACATGGCAAGCATTTAGAACAGCACCTGCTCTTTATGAGAGTCAGTATTTGTCTTTGAGGTTTCAAATCCTCACACTTTTGAGCTACAAAACTCCCAGCAATCATCTAAGACAAACATTAGAGCAGTCAGCTATGGTACTGTCAGCAAAGATGACTAATCCAGGATTTTGGTTCATATTTTGAAAATGCCAAAATGTCATTATTAATACAAATATTATATTTCACGGTAAAAAAAGAAAGATGGCATTTGATCTCCATCTTTGCTTTGTTTCAGACCTCAGGAGCAGAGCCTGATCCACCAACCAATGAATGGATAAACATGATGTGGTCTGTGCATACAATGCAATATTAAGTGGCCTCAAAAAGAAATAAAGTACTGATAGATGCCACAACAGGGATGAACCTTGAAAACATTACGCTGAGTGAAAGAAGCCAGACACAAGAGACCACACAGGGTCTGATTCCATCGATATGAAATGTCCAGAACAAGTAGATCTATAAAGACAGAGAGTAGATTACTGGCGGCCAGGGTCTGGGAGGGATGGCGAGATTGGGGGGTGATGGCTAAGGGGTATGGCATTTCCTTTTGATGAAAATGTTCTAAAATTGGCTATGGTGATGGTCACACAATTCTGTGAGTATAGTAAAAAGCACTGAACTGCACACTTTAAATGGATCCCCAAAAGTGACATGCTGTCAAGTTCATTTATATAGCACTCTTGGCATGACAGAATTCTAGAAATGGGGAACAGATTAGTAGTCTCCAGGGGTTCAGGAAGGGATTAGGATAGAGAAAGTGAGGATGGCTATAAAAGGGCAGCAGGAAGATCTTTGTGATGGAAGTGGCCCGGATCTTGGCCCTCCCAATGTCACTATCCTGGTTATGATATCAGACAATCCATCACCATGACTTGCAGATTCCGTGTTTATGAATGCAAATATGGAACAACCCCAAGATCAATACTTGCGGCACTTTGGCCATCATTCCCGGACACGTACAGAACAGGAAAAACTGCGAGGCGCCCGGCGTTCACATTCCCAGTCGAGGTCGAACAAGGTGACGCGCTGCCGTCTGGGTTCCACTCTCCCGCTGTGAACAAGTGTCCTTTTCACGGTCTACTTAGTGCCGCGTTTTTCACATTTTTGTGCTTGTTCATGGTGATTCTGCAGTTGAAAATGACCCCCAGGCGTAATGCTGAAGTGCCGTCCAGAGTTCCTAGGCACCAGCAGGCCGGGACGTGCCCGGTAAGCGTCAGACCGGCGGCGTTCAGGCACCACTGCTGACAGCCTGAGTCCGACGTGAGCGAATCAACGGTGCACATTGCGTAAGGTGTCTTTACACAGGCATGCACGTAAAACAAAGGTATATGTTAATGGGATCATGAAATGGACGGGACCGGAGGCTTCCAGGGACCTAGCCCCGCTTGGGGCTTGCACTTGTCGCAGGAGAAATGGTTCAGCACTAATTCACTGGTTTGGCGTTCCTCGCGAGTTTACAGAATGTTACGTGCCATGAATAAGGAGTATTGACTGTATTATAGTTTTATAAGATGTTCCCATTGGAGGAGACTGAGTAAAAGGCACACCAGAATCTCTCTATATTATTGCTTCAAAGTGAGTGTGACTCTACAGTGATCTCAAAATAAAAAGTTTTATTAAAAAAAAAAAAAAAAAGAGGAAGCCATACCCCCTCGTGAGCCAGGAAAGGAGACACCGTTCTCCAGCAATAGACATAAGGTTTTCAACAGCAGGAATGTTGTCAGAAAGCTTTTGGAATGAGTGAGCCTGGTTTCATATGAAATTATGAGGTGGCCTGCAACTCTGTGAGAGCAGCTCAAGTCAAATGTTTCAAATGTCACAGTACCAAAAAAATACCACAGTACAAAAATACCCGTATTTTGGTGATTAAAAATAGCATTCTATCTTGGGATATTGGAAAAGCTTTGTGATTACTACACCACATGCATGTACATGCCTTGACTTTGGAGATTTATCTATTTTTTCCCACAAACACTCCAGGAGTACCTGCCAGGTGTCTGCCCTGTGCTGGGCAGTGCTGGGGACGCAGAGTTGACTGTGACACTTCCGGCCCTGTCCTCATGGGGCTCACAGTCCAGCTCATCCCCCAGAAGACAGGGCCCAGACTGGACAGGACTGGGAGAGAGGAGCCCAGGAGGCAGGGAGATCCCAGAGCAGGCGTTAGGCCCAGCTTGGAGGGAGAAATCAAAGAGGGCTTCCTGGAGGAGGGGACATTTGCACTGAGCTACAAAGGCAAAATAAACACAAGCCATAAGGAACAGGGGTAAGGGGGAGTTCCAGGACAGGGATGCAAATGTGCAAAGTCTAGGAAGAAAAGGGCACATGCTGCAAACGGGAAAATGACTCTATCTCTTTCTCACTTTGTGGCTGTAGTATTATGAGAATAATAATAGCAAAGCCCTAAAAAGCACCTGCTATGTTCCAGGCCTTGTTCTAAGCACCTTGTAGAAGGTGGCTCATTCATTTCTCACCATCATGCTATGAGGAAGGGACTAATTTATAGACGAAACCATGGAGGTACAGGGAAGAGCAATGACACCACTAGGGTCACACCGCTGGTGTGGATGTGGATCTAGGAATCATTTCCAGGCCATCTGACTCTGAGTCTGGCCTTTAACTAGGATGTTGTACTGCAGAATATGCAAAGGGCGTGGGAAGGAGGGTGTTAAGAGGGATGAGTGGGGGGATGGGGAGTCCTAGGCATGGTAGGTTGCTGGAGGTTCGTCCCAAGGCTACCGGGGAGCCATGGAAGGTGTTTTTATTTTTCTCAATAAAATAATCCAGGAGGTATGTATTAGTTATCTGTTGCTGCATAACAAAATACCCCCAGATCTAGCAACTTTAAACAGCAAATGTTTATTATTGGCACATTGCTCCTGGGGGTAAGGAATCCCGGAGCGACTCAGCTGAGCCGCCATGGCGTGGTGTCTCTGATGAGGCGGTGGACAAGCAGTTGGCTGGGACCACAGTCATCATCTGAAGACTCATTTGGGGCTGGAATATCTGCACCCAAGGTCCCTCAGGTGATTAATGGCAGGAGGCTTCTGTTCCCCCCATCCGCTGTTGGCTGTCGGCTGGACCTGTGGGCCTTTCCTGAGGCTCCCCGTGACGTATGTTGAATTCATTAAACAAGGAGCCCATCAGGCTGGGGCTGCTCTACTACATCAGCAGCCTATGGAAGCAAACCCAAACCTAAGCCGATAAATGCTGCAAGGTCAAGAGAATGGAAACCTAAGGACAACCACTCACAGCCAGTTACACTTTCCTAAAAAGGGCGACTGCTTCCGGGGCAGCCAATCAAATAACTCGTTGCCTTGCTTACGTGTTTTCTCTGCAATCCAGTTCCTGTCAGTGGGGAGCTCCTAACCACGTCCAGGTTTGGCACTGCCCAACTGGAATTGGGTTTTGTCCAGATAAACTCTTAATATTTTCGACATGTCTCAGTCGAACACAGGGCACTTGGATTCCTCCAGAGCAAGTGATGAGCGAGAGAGAAGGAACCCAAGATGGAAACGGAAATTTTGTTATGACCCAGCCTCAGAGGTGACATGCCCCTCGTTCGCTCTACTCTGTGCATTACAAGGGAGTTACTAAACCCGGCCCACATTCAAAGGGGGTGATTGAGCTCCACCTCTTGCAGGGAGGGGTGTTGCGGTATAATGAGACATGTATTTGGACTTTGTCCCCTTTCCTGGCACAGAGCTTCTAAACCCCTTAGAATTTCCTAAGTGATAGGAGTGTCTTGTTATTCAGAAGGAAACCCCTCTGATCACCCCTGAGTTTATGCTAGCGAGGTGACTTAGTGTGGGGTCCCCCCATAGCCTCAAGTGGAGCCCATCATCAGAAAGATCCGATGAGGACAGGGTGGATTTTCAGCCCCACCCTCCACCCCCTGGGAAGGGGATGGGGCGGCTGCACTCAATAGTTTATAAAAACCCTTTGCCTTCCCCACCCCGTTTACTTTCCATGTTAATTTAGGCCAATTTTACATTGGTTAATTTTCTCTTTGTAATCACAGATGACCTACTTTAAAGTTTTATACTGAAGATTTGGAAAAAGAAAACCAACAGTAATCTCATGAGCAAAATTGTGACAACCTCTTCATTTGCACTGTCTAGGAGAGATTAGTAATTTCAGTAGTAGTGGAGCATCATATGGACTTGAAAATAGTGAAGTTTCCTGTGATTTCGGTTATTTGATTCCATTCTAATTAATTGCTCTGTCTTTCTGTATGTGTCCATAGGTGCGTCTTCTGAAAGATTTCTAGTTTGTTTGCAGCACAGCCAAAAACAGTCCTTGATGGTTAATTTAAATTGTTCACTTTCCCTTCTGGGGGGCTCCTCTTTCCCGAGGAGCATGGTAGTTCCGATTCACTTTATTTCACAATGCCCTTTCTGCCAGAACCATGTGATAAAATGACATCTTGAATTTAGATTCTGAAATCAGATCTAAATAGCATCTGAATTTAGATTCAAAAGTCAGCAAGGACTTTAACCCGTTTAATTTTGTTGGACAATAAAAGATGTGCAGCGCTGTGTGTTACCATTTGTGATTTTTCTGTCCCCAAAATGTAGTATCTAATTGTAGCTGTTTATTCACCTCAGCTGTGTGGCGACATCGTAACCTAGAGCTCCGTTTACATGTTGTCTTTTCATCATTTTGAATTGTCCTCTCTTCTACAGAAACGCTTGAATAACAGGTTTTGATGAGCTTCTGAGCTGGTGAACACATCCTGTGGAGGGAGGGGACATCCCAGTTCCGCGGGGACAGAAGCTCCTTGCGTTGGGGACCCTTCTGGGCCTTGCCCTGACGGTGCCTGCCATCGAAGTTGAACAGTCCGAAGGGGAGGCGTGGAGCTGAATATATGCACAACTCACTCTGAGAGGACGCCCCACATTGGGCGCCAGATGTAACGTGCCACTCATCTTCTTTGTGTGAAATGAGAGAACAAAAAACACAGACAACACAGACAGACAGACAATGGCTGCAGCCCCGATGTGGCGCAGCACCTTTATTTTTGTACTGCCTTTCTCGGAGCTCAGCCAAGTGCTATACTCATCTTTCCCTTCTCAGGGGGGACAGGCCAGAGCACCTTGTTGATTTTCTTAGAAGCTGCCTGGTAAGCAGGGGCGGTGTTTTCACACGTCCTCAAGGTCTCCCTACTTTCAGAGTGAGGCATCTTGGCTCGTCTTCGAGGACAAGATATGTTTTTGTGGGCAGATAACTTCCAAGGACGGCACTGGTTGTTCTCAGGCTGGTGCTTTCCCGTGCTGCGTTCAGACCTGGGGGAAGGT